CATGTTTGTATGTCCCGTTTTAATTCGGTAAAATTTACCTTACCTCTGCAGGTCGGTGGTTCAGAGAGAAAAAACCACCTGATGTTACCCATTGCATGATCGTAAGAGGCGGCTAAAGTGTGAACTCCATGCATCATTGATAATTTGCATTTGTGCTTTCTTCTTAAAGCGACCAAAAGAAAAAAGTGACTGCTGCACCAATTGCAATATAGGGACATTTTATATTTCACCCTACTTCTAACTACCTTTTGTTTCCTAGCGCCTGGCTTGGCAAAACCTCACTTTGGCTTTAATGTTAAACGTTCGCACCGATGAATAAATGAATGCTTCTGTCCCCAACTTCCTCTCAAAAATGGTAGTTGTCATGTCTACTTAACGTTCGGCATTAAGGGAAATGGCGACTACTGGCTCACGTGTTGTGAGTATAATGTGACCAGGCGGAATGCTGTGCTGGGTGCATTCATTGTGCTAGTTTAGCGTGATACAAATGTAGTAATGTAGAGTCGGCATCAGATTCGCGCTATCACAATGAGGCAATTACACCAACATACCCGTCTCTAACTCACATACACGCATACATTACACACATGGAGGCACGTCTTTAAATGACCCCAGATATTGATAGGACTTTTATCAAATTGACCTTTTTCCTATTGTTCATATGATAATGACACCCTTTACTGATCAAAGTTTGGATATTTCCAGATTTTGAAGCCTTATCAGCTCCTTTATTTCCACCCAAAACATTACCAAACACCGACAAACACCAGTACGTTTACCAAAAAAATATTGATGTTGTTTCTTAGGCCACCATAACACCAATTATCCTGTATTACATTGCAGCTAAAAGGCATGTGATGTTACATTATAAGATTACAGTGCTGTGTTTTATATGATTTTTTTTGTCTTATAGTCACCTTAACGAGGAAACACGTTCTTCTAGCTTTTACTCACACTTTTAATGTACAGAATTACATTTACATGTATTTTAGTCCTGGCCTTGGAAAGTATTGGCGACAACAAATCACACATTACTGGCAATATATTTTAAGAAATCCCTTATTTCTTTACGAATGAGGCAATGCGACGAATCGTTAAAGCTGAAATTGCATCTTAAATCTAAAATGAGCTGTTTAAATATTTATTTCCTACGCCGCGACACCCGTAGGTAAACAAAAAGTCGATTTTTACATCATTTGTTAGTTTTGAACTGCCGGCGAGCCTCTTTCAGCAGGTTGGTGACAGATAACATAGTTACATTCAGATTGAACACACTACTTCTGCTATGTGTAAATGGGTTCTCAAGGAATAATTTCTGCTTAATATACATTTAGTAGTGCCTACTATATAAACATCATAAGATAAATAAAGTACACGGACTTGAGCCGATAATGTAGTACATGTACCTGCATCAAATGTACAATCAGATGTTCTGGAAACACTATGCATACGAATTTATCTTTTTTTTCTTCTAAATACTTTAGCATTGTAAGTTATACAAGGCCGCCTTTATTTTAGTGTTGTGTCTTATGTTTGCATTTACTCAAAGATGAGGCGTTAGGAATATATCCATTTAATTTATAAAGATTATGTATAAATGAAGAAAACTACATTATGCATGTGTGTACGGTGCTCAATATTTAGTGTCTGTGACTTGTACATGTATGCAGTTGTGTAATTTACATGTATATACTGTTGCTCTCTAAAACAACTGTTATATTCCTCTCAAGTCAGACAGGAGTACATGTGTAGCTATACATATAAAAAATGAAAGTTTTTCAAGGTTGCTATTTCTGCAATATCGACGATATAAACGAGTTTAAATAATAGTTATGTCAAAATGATAACTTAAACAATATTGATTTCCTTCGCTAATTTATTTAAGTTTAACAAAACTCCATATCAAATAAGATCAGTAAACCGATTTCATCTGAGTACAGACAATGGGACGCCCTTTGATGTCGTTATCGAATGTAATACGATAAATAGATAATGTTCCTTTATCGTAAATCTGTTATTTCGTCCTCAGACAACATGCTATGATTGATGACCTTCACATCTAATTATTTTACGGAATATACATGGACGTTGCCGATTGATGTAGCGAGTAATAACCTTCATCCGTCTATTTTAATATCAATGAAAGGCTATCACAGCTGCAGCAACACGTTTAAAGTGTTATCCAGAGCAAGGTGGCCTTCATGAGTTCAACTCAAATGTATAGCAGCTACGTTTTCATGTATATATTCGTATCAAAAGCTTCAGCCTTTCGTCGACATGTTGTCAGAGGCCATAGCTCAAGATGATAAAATATCGGCAACAAGCAAACATATTCAATATTTTATTGGAATGATTTGTTTCAACAAAGATACACTTCAATTATCATGTTATGTGTTATGTAAGAATCGTATATACAACTGCCATTTCTGATTGGAAGCAATACATATGTAATGAAGTTTGTTCGACGACTTCACAATGCAACCTGGTGCCTGTACATATAAGATTGTATGGTCGAACAAATGTCAAATTCTTTTAAATCAGATTTATCTTTCGTATAATCATTCCTATATTACTCTTTTATCATGCTAACAAAGGCACGTACATCGTACAACAATTTGATTTGGAGTTATCATTCGCTTAGATATTTGATAAAATCATCAAAGGAAACACACGAGCGATTTCAAATGGCTGCTGATGGCTTGTCATTCTTTATCGCTGAACTATATGGGTTTATAAGACGATTCTTACATACTTCCAATCGTCCTTAATGTTTTTGATGTTCATATCATGATATGGATATTGTTATTTGCAAGGATGGGTTTTGAAAAGCATACGTATATAATTACACAGGAAAAGCAATATTGCCATGACAATCGCCATGTCAGATCAATTTCACCAGGAATACATTATTAGCATATAAAATACCTGCTGTACAGAAAGAATCGAGTGCAACTGTTTCCTGACTTAACACCGGCCTGGTAACGTCAGTCATCTCAGCAGGAAACTGTCAACTAATTGTCTTCCAAGGCATGCTTTAACTAACAGTACACCGCGCTTTTAATGCTATTTTACTCTCAGACATCCGGCATTTAAGTGTGACTTTTATATCGGTATTGTCATTGTCTTCGCCGTTAGGGTTTATAAATATAGTTGGATCTATTTTAATACTTGGTCTTATTTAACCCCAGACGAGCTTTCGCAATAAAAAAGGGCCAAAATATCTCACTGAAGCGTCAACAAAACCGTTATTCGAACTAATATAAATAGGACAAAATATCACAAAGGAAGGATTTGTATTTATACCTTGATAGATGAAACAGATGTACATGTATGTTGCAGTAAAATTCAATTTTTGAAAACTGTATTTAGTACCAAATTAAAAAAGATGCAATCATCTGTGAACGTTCATCATTGAAAAAGCACAAGGAGAAAAAAGACTAGGACCAAGTTATTCCAAAGACGATCAGCTTAATCACTGCTAAATGCACATTTTAAACCTCTCATTATTTGGTGAACATACAACGTAAAAGATAGTAACTTTACATGTAATATATTCTGCTATAATATTTCCGTTCTGGACAGTTTTGCATGTGTTACTAAATTAATGGTTGTGTTTTCTAGATATATACTGAACAAAAAAAGAAACGCACAAAGTCCCCCTGCAGTACACCTTAGCTGTAAGGAAATAATGGAATATTTGGTCAGGTATTACATCAAGAACGATCTCCCTTCTCAACAATCTACCCTAAAATCAGCCAATCGTGACGATGTCATTGTGTGGCTTTTTGTGAGCTTCTTTTCTCCTAATCACGCGGCGTGATCAAGCCTCTAAGTTCAGCCACATTAATTTTCCACGATGGCATTTTGATTTCGTCAATGACTGAGATGCCACGCTTAACGCAAATTCAGAGGGGAAGAGCAATTGCGATGTTGATGGATTGTCATAGTCAAACTGCTGTCGCACGGCAGGTTGGTGTTGGCCCGTGTTTAATTAACCGTCTCTGTACACGTTTCCGTGCTACTGGGTTAGTTTCTGATCGTGCCAGGAGCGGTCGCCCGTGTGTAACGACCGCACGACAAGACAGGGCGATTCGATTGTCGCACTTGCGCAACAGATTCAAGACTGCTGTAGAGACTGCGTCGCATACCTTAGGTACTCATGGCAGACCTATTAGTCCTCAAACTGCCAGGAACCGCTTTCGTGCCGAGAGAATCATTGCACGCCGACATTATGTCGGGCCACCTCTGACACCACGGAGGCGGCAAGTGCGTCTTGACTGGATGCGCAGACATGGCCCGAATAGGTTTGGGATGCGTCGATGGAGGCGTGGGATGTTCACCGACGAGTCTAGCTTCTTTCTGTATCGCTCAGACGGAGGAAAAAGGGTATATCGCCGACGAGTTGAGCGTTTCGCCGACGCATGCGGGGTTGAACGCGATAGATTCGGTGGGGCTTCTGTAAAGGTTTGGGAAGGCATCTACCATGGAGTAAAATCCCATTAGTGGTCCTGGATCAAAACCTCAATGCCGTTCAATACAGAGACCAGATTATCCAACCACATGTCCCTCCACTTCTCAGACGTCATAACCTGATTTTCCAATAAGACAATGCTCGACCGCATGTTGCCAGAGTCTGTCGTGAATTTCTCAAGGCAAACAACGTTCAGCCTCTGGAATGGCCCCAATATAGCCCCGACATGTCTCCTATTGAGCATCTGTGGGATAATCTGGACAGGCGTATTAGGAAACGTCCAAGTTGATCGCAGCATTAACACGAGAATGGCACAGCATTCCCTTAAGGCGAATACATGTTCTCATGAATTCAATGCATAGGAGAATCCGTGCAGGGATTCGTGCAAAAGGTGCCGACACCAGGTACTGAAGTGTCATTTTGTTTTTCGCGGGTATCCCACTTTGAGTAACTACTGATGACACGAGTGACGTAACACAGACTTTTCGTCTACAGTATTGTAAAGAGTAGACTTGTCATTTAGTTGTGCGTTTCTTTTTTTGTTCAGTATATATATAAAAAATACACTGAAAAAGCTGATAACCATTAGAACTATTTCGCCCTGGACTTTCGGAAGGGTAAAAAAGATATCCCTGTTACGGGTATATATTTACGAAAATATTTTCCAGTCTTTTTTAATTGATCCGAATCTTGGTTTTTTCCCCCTTTTTGTACGTGAAATTCACTAATTGAAAACATCCATGTTCGCCTAGTATTAATTTCGCCTTTCACATGTTATTACTATATATTGAAGGTTGTGTCAAATATTCGCTGCAATAGAAAATTCGCTCTCAGTAAAGAACTAAAAAGGGAAAAATACAAATTGGATAACACAACTATTGCAAGAAGCGCTCTATTTCTTAGCGAAGCATTATGTCGTCAACCTCGTTTCTTTATCGAATGGAATTTCAAATGGTTATTTGTTTTCAGCAGAAGTAGCGTACAAAGCGTAGATATTTACACACATATGGTACTCTCTGGGTGTTTTTTTTTTGCTTTTTTTGTTTTTGTTCGTGAAGTTCTTTATTCTTTGCATTGTTTATGAATTGTGTTGTTTGTTTTGATTATGTGTTTTCCTATGTTGATCGCTATGATAAAATGAGTAAAATATATACAAGAACAAACCTTAATTTTCAAGCGGGTACTGTCATTTTTACATCAGAAATATTTTTTACAATTACAAATAGCAAAACAAAACTGTCAATGATGTTAGGAACCAACAAATCGGAGGTTCAAACAGAATTATCTATGGTTCACGTAAAATATAAATTTCTTTCACTAGACATCCACAGATGCATATCACAGTTTGATTGTAGCTATACCAATATTTTATATTAATTGACGAATAATCACATTGTAACTACATTTAACGGCAAAACATAAGCAGACTTTCCACCATGATTTCTCTCGCCCATGTACGCTTGTAAAACATTCTTTGATACTCTATATGGCTAAAGTCGTCAAGCCTTGTGGCCGCATGAGTACTTACTGACACTGTATCGTACACAAGGTACATGTCGCCGACTATAGCGTATGCCCTAAACAACAGGTAACGATATCGATTCAAATGTTGAGCTGCTGCTATCAGTCCATTTCTCTTACACATAAATTTGGAATCCGAAACATCACCTTCGTCGAAAAGATTGTTTAGACACAGATCATGGAGTCATTTATCATGTTCTGTATCGATAGGTAGTTTAAGAGTCATGAAATTGTTAATATTTGCTCGAGATTCATTGTTGGATTTGAATGTCATCGATCCAGGGCCTGGTGTTAATTGGGTGTGGTTTGTCACGGCCCGCGGAGAGTCCATAGTCCCAGAAAATCTGCTGAGTCCCGTACTCGAGTCTATGTCACTTTCATCGTAAAACTGATTTGATTGAAATTTGCCTTTGAAGTAGGAACCACTCTTAAAGTTGATTGGAGTTCTTCTGGTAGACGACTGGTAGTGTACCATGACACCCCGAAGCTTCTGTCGTTTCAGGGCCGCTTTCAAACAACAGCAGCAGCGAACTAACTCCCTCTTGAAATTGATGGTGAACATTCCTGGAACAGAGTAAACTTTGTGTAAGTGTTTTTGTTGCCCGATGTCACAAAGGCATTGTAAGGACTACACTGAGTTAGACCATCTGTGATTGGCCTTCTGCCCTATCTGAACTTTTATCCAACGACCCCATTTCCTTGCTTCTCGACGGAACGCAGTGGTAAACATCCCTGTAACAGAAATGTTTGGGCTGTAAATTATTTAAGTGACCCTAGCTTATATTAACCTGAAATTCATAAGTTAGGTAGCTTTGTAGTATTTGTTTATGTTAAGTTAAGACCAATAATTTACCATTGGGGACATCATACAGCACAAGATGTACTGATGATAGATTTATTATGTCGTTCGCAAATGTATTCTTAAAGGGTTTCACTGTTACCAAAAGCGAAGTAAACGGAACAGAAGGATGTTAAATATTAAGAAGTAATCCAATTACTAATAAATTACGATGTCTAACGCACATACTGGTTTGCGCACTTTTTAATACTTAAAATTATTGCCAGTCTTCCGTTAGGAAAATGTTCATTGCTTGATTTTAAAAGCTAATTTGATTGTGATCATTGGAACAATTCGTCTTGATCAACCCGGTTCCTGGATTCTGACAAAAGTTTACAATGAAATACAGAAAAATACCTGCTCATGTGACTAATTAAGAGACAACCTTCATGAAAATTCAAAATTTTAATTTCTCAACTTGCTGTTATTTCTTTCATTTCTTTCAGAATTGAGTTTATATTCAAGGGTTATAATCGCTAGGAGAACAATGTTCAGACTTTCGACGGGTAAGTTTATATATACAGGTTGGACGGTATTATCAATTATAGTGTATCATTTTCGCCACGATTGTTTGAAAATTATAATCGATGAATGTATTTGATTCGATTCTATCACAGAGTATACTAAATGATGGCATGGTGGACATGTACATTGTATTAGGTCCCGCCAATATTGGTAAAAACTTATAGGATCCAATGTACTCAAACGTACTGCGTGTATCACGCACATATATCGATGTATGAACCTGTACATTTATTCCAGTGTTGGAAGCATGATCTGTTGTCTTAACCAATATTCAATCATTTTTTCTCTCACTAATTGACGTTTCTGCAAACCGTTAGTATATTCTCGAAACCATTGAAATGAAATCAAATGGAACCTGGTATACAACCTCAACACAAAAAATAGGAAATAGGAAAACTATAATGCTAACGAGAGAGACAGACTACATTTCAAAGGATTTTAAAGGTTATTTTCGTAATCGTTGTTTCCATTTTTTTGTCAACATGTGGGATGATTTACCACATCACGCGGCATAAAAAGGCTGATCATCCTCTCTGATGCACTTTTAATAGGTTTCCGACGGATGGCTTACGCTAATACCTTCTGGGAGTTACCATCTCCCTTCCTGTGATGTATTGTTAATGGCTTGCTGAATACAAACAATTAACGGGTTATGATGTACTTTTACATTATGGGGTTAAAGCAGACACAGGAAACATTTATGAGGCATCAAAAAGGGCAAAATTTCACTAATGGCATATTAAATTTCTATTACTTTAGTAAGTTTTTGTTTAAAAAGAACACGCATGTCCATGAACTGTCATCATTCTTTTGTGTCATTATCACTTTCTCGTTAGGAGACATGTATTTACCCTTTCCTATTCACAATAATTTGGTTTAATTTGTTTTAACAGCTAAGGTCTTTCAATTAACATTTTCATGAATCCTTATTGATTTATATTAAAATAAGTATTTAGCAAAGATTCAATTTCTTGAGTTGTACTTTTAATAAAATTTTCAGCTTAAAATAATATCCTAAATTATTAAGGAATTTGGGGTGGGTTAAACTTAATTCGCTAATTGTTACGCATTACCGAAATAGTCGTGACCTATATCAAACTGAAATGTACGATAATTAAACAGCAGCACCATTGGGTCAGTTGTTTCTAACTAAACGACGTCAACAAAATTCTATTTTTAGAAAAATTTCTATAAATAGTTATAATTTTGTTGGGTGTTTTTTGGGGGAGGGTGGGGTGGGGGGGGAGGGTATTGAGATACCAAAAATGTCCCCTTCTCAAAGTTAGGGTTTTCTTATATTCTATTTTAATTTACATACCATCTCAAAATATATAAAAAAAAATCTGTATGACCCCTTTGCGTTATATTACAATATAAGCTGGTAAAACGTCTGTGATTTAATACACGTTATCTAGGATCACCACTTATTCACACTGTTGTCGTAATAGGTTCCACTTACCATACACTATTGGATCCATGCAGGAGTTAGAGACGGCGAATAAAAATAACCCCTTCTGTATCTTTGGGTCTAACTTTTTTGCGGAATCCCTGAAATAAAAACGAATTATTGTGTCAATAATTCCTAGCAAACGTCCTGAAACGTCGTTTGTTTTTGTCGCTAATAACACAGTAAATGCGTCGGAATGATCCGTATAATTGGCCCATGATGAGATGATTATCGAAAAATGGTGATATATTTGGATTACTGTTAAGGGTCTGGTTGAAAGCAATCGTAAATAGACGAGCTGGTAAAAGCAAACGTCATAGGCAATTCCATAAAAAATGGAAAAAGCACGAAAAAAACTCGTGTCGATGGCGTGCGAAGAAACGTTCTTCAAATGTCTCTCAGATGAATACTGTTAAAACAATGAAAACCTAGTGACGTGACCTCTTATAACGACCCAAATAACTGCGATTGATAGCTTTGAAGTAATGGCTTTCAAAATAGTGCCCTGTTTTCATAATATTTAAGACCTGCCTTTAATAATCTGTTGAAGCCTGTCTAAACAGCATTAACAGATTTCTATTAGATACGCATTTCACGTTAAGTACATAGATCAAATAGAAATATAATGACGTGAACATTAAAGAAATTGGAAAAAGCCAGAACGCAAAATACTTAAAATGCCACCAACTCAAGATATTTGAGCACGTATATCAAAACAATTATCAAAAGTTTTAAACATTTCTAAATTCACTTTAATGTATGATTTCATGTGCTACCATCTGATTTTGAATAGCAAGTGTGCGTAAGACTCAAACTACAAAGCTTCATTTGTGCAATACACTAGCAAACTATTCAAACTAATAAAGCAAATGTCATACCATTTTTCAAATTGCAGGTTTAGTACATGTATGACATAAAACTAGCAATGCGTATGTGATGTGTCATGTAAGTATCTTGCAAGTTGTTTCGAAGAAAAACTCCATTTTGCTGAATAAAAAAAATATAAGGGGAAGAAGACGGAATGATAATGAGAGATTAAAGACGACTAAAAAAGTAAATCCTCACAGAAGACACACAAAAGCGAGCCAAACCTTTTTACATACATTTGTATGTCAAAGGCTTGGTAACGTCTTAGTTATATATATTTTAATCAGAAAACATGTTGGACTGTAAAAAGCGGATCGCGTGTCGGACAATAAGGCTGACTTTGCTTTCTTAGAATATAAAATGTAAGTATGTGTTATAGAGGTTTGAAGAATGAAACGTCACTAAGTAAAATTCCACCCGGCGAGCTTATCCAGTGGAGGTACATGACCAACATTAATTTGTAAGAAAACAAATTAAATGTTCCCTAATTATAATTTCTTTTGTTCCAGAAGTTTAAGATCAGATTACATTTTATTACTTCCGGTTGTAAGTGCTGCTTTAGCAGATCGATTCACTTTGCATTTCCGATCATACAGACATGACCAAGAACAAGAATTCAGATCAGATGACAAATTAATGACGTAATTATCACTGTGTATTTTATGAAGGGTATATAACCATTACTCAACTTTGATATTTGAAAGCGTCAATAAGAACTTACTTGTCAAACCACCACCAAGCCGATATCACGAAATAAGGCGTCCAGCACAGCACAAATACACTGACTGAAATACAGACGGAATACAACTTAATAATATTTCTCAACAATACTTTATGAGAAGGCAACAACATGACAGTCACGCAGAAGGTCATTATATTATATTCCTCGACACATCATGAAAAACATCATAATACAAGTAATTTGATAAAATGTTTTCCAAATATTTTATTAAAACATTTCTAAACAGATGCATCATTGTAAAAGCACACTTATTCTTTGAGGCGTATGAAGGATGTCATTATTCATCACAGCCTTTCTGCGTCAATTTAATTTTGAATTTAAAATAAGTCGATCCTAAGTGTTCAAGTAATTCATTCTTAACGTTTTAAGTGAAACAGCTGCTTTCCAATATATATCGATGAAGATTTTTAGAACATGCGATTCTCTGTTGTGTGTTCGACTATTTACAAAAATGTTCAAAAAACAAAAACGGGATTTTATTACGAAGAAGATAATTGATTTTATCATAAGTATGCCCACGACTCTACCGCGGTTTTGGCAATCGCGTGAACATAATCATACAATTGCTTCAATATGGGTCAGATATGGACATAAAATGAAAATCTGAAGAAGCAAAGACATTCCGCTAGATAATTTATAGTTATTCCAGTGCCTACATTATCAGCAAGTATAACAACTGTATCTATGTAACCGGCGAACAAGATGTAACGGAGAGGTATTTGTAGTATAATATTAATATATGAACAAAATCTAATTGTATTGGGAACCATTACAGAAGTCCCCAACACTGCCCCCATTGTCGCAATGATGAACCAGAAGCATTTTGTAATGCCATAAAATAATACTTTAATTTTGACCAATCAGGAGCCAAATTATAGAGGCCATTTCGTCTAATCACGTAACGGGGTCTGTAGTAGTGTTTGTTGTACAGGTAAACACCAACTTACCAAATTTGATCCAAATCTGACAATATCTGAATTGCAACCAATGAGAAGGAATTGTATGGTGACAATTTCAACCAACCAGAAAATGAATGTCATAGTAACATTTGCAGAAACATTAAAGCAGAACTAAGGTTATCGAACGCTGAAATCATTTTTAAGAGATTTTGGACAAAGTTCGGAAAAATCTAAAATTATATCGGAGAACCGGAGATCATTGTACTCCGCCTTATGCCAATAATCAACTGTGTAGTTTTAAACAAAAACTGTCTTACAAGACTAAGGCATAAGAATTATGAACACGGAGTGAAACCAATATTTGGTTTGTTTTCTTGATTAACGTCCTATTCCATGTAACAGCCGGAGTTTCCGGAGAAAAAACACCGACCTATTGCCAGTACCTGGCGACCAATAAGTCCACCACTTCGTTTGGGGGACTTAACAGTCTTTTTGAATAGGAGCACGTCAGAGGTAAATACTATGACATTCAATACAAATATCAACATGAATTCAGAACACGTTTACAGTGACTTTGCGGAAAAAAGTTAAAGAAATAACTTTTCTGGAAATGTCAAATCGATGCAAAATATCGTGCTGACCACCAAAACTGCAACACAAGGCAAAGGTTGATTCTTTTATTGATCATTAATCACGTAATAAATTTTAACACGCCGGCATAGCGGTCTTGCAAACGCTCGTATCACATAACCCAGGGGATTACGGCTTGAATCATTGTGGAGAACGTGCAAATGCACATTATGAAACGTAATTCGAAGCAGACAAGAAAACATTAATTCGATCTCATCAAAATCAGCTGAAATCAAAGAAATACAAAAAAATGAGTTTCATAGTTATGTAATTCGACATTAATAGCCGTGCGTCATGTTTGAATAAGAATTTTGTTTCTAGAGTCACAAGTTGTTAGTATCACGGGAACGGTGTCTTAGACTTTGTTTAACGTCCTATTAACATAGAGTGTCATGAGGCATCTCGCAACATATTTCTTGAATGTATAAAACTAACTTGTTTTTTGTTATACAAATTCCTTTTCCTAGATTAACATATATTTTTGTTAAAATGTTTATTCAAAATTTATTTGAGCAAATAAGCCGATTATTTTTAAAGGGTGTTAAAATGAGCTGAAAAAACAGATTTTAAAATTCTTTTTATAGAAAAAAATGAAAGTTTGCATTACACCAGAATACTGAACAATACCTTGAAATGTTCATCTGTGTTTTTAAGCTTTTTTCGGATGTGCAAGGTAGAATACCTACCACACGTATCACTAGTGTCGGGATTAAACCACGTGTTATTACACCGTTATCCATTACTAAAGTCAGAATTATATACCGTAACACTTATAGCTTATATCAGATTTTGATTATTTGTATGGGGTTTGGCCTCCTTGCGACAGCTTGAACCATATGATGACGGGCGCCTGGAGAGAGAGAGCGCCCCAATGAAGTGGAGTAGGAGAAAAAAAAGTATGTGTCGGAATAATATTACAACTATTAACATTGTATGAATTTGATCACTGCTACATTGTTTAAATAATGCCAGAAATAAACCCACCTACTACTTGTGTGGAAGACATACATGTAAGGCAAACATATATAATGTGTACATTTGGTAATAGATTGTATGCTAAAATAAATAAGTCAGCACTGTATAATAGCTTTTCGTCCTTTTAGGATTAATCACGTTCACCTATTTATAGTTATGACGAACCTTTCGTATCTGACAGCATCGGAATAAGACCACATGTATTACAATTAAAAAAGTACTAGTGTCAGAATTACCGTATGACGCGACATTTTCGCCATATTTTAACTTTCGCCGTTTTGGCCCTCGCCAATGAAGGCAAATTTACAAACTATACAGTAGTGATTACATGTGAAGGACGAAATAACAATTAAGCGAACATGGATTTTGTCAGCAATGGGCGAATATTTGACTAGGCGATAGACTATATCAGACCATGAACAAGTGTGGGATTGGAACAATACATATCACTGGTATCGTTATAAGGAAATACCTATTATTAGTGTCTCAATGATACCTCGTCTGTCGCTGATGTTAAAGTTACACATCACCTAGTATAGCAGTTCTTACCTATTACTAATGTCATCTTTAATGTTCGAGTCCTCGCCCGGCGTATGTTTCCCATAGAAGACCGGCGTAAACGGCTCCGAGCCTTCGCTGATAAACCTGTTTCTTCTGGAAATATATCAATCAGATTATTTATCTATACATGTACGATATATTTTTATCATAAAATTCATATATATAAGAATTTTAAAATGTATATTGTTCGCAACAATTTATCTAACAGAACTTTCAAAACAAGAAGGTATAATTACTTTTCAGGCAATATAAAATCCAGGAAATTGGTTTATGACCATTATTTTAAGAAAATAGTCCTATCAAAACGAGGATACAAATAAGATCAAATGTCGTTTGGACATTACAAAGCTAAACATTGGCAATTAAACCCGTATCTTTGTGTGGCAGTCACCCCTGGTAAGACAACATCGGCAATGACCAGCTATGTCAGTGTTAATCATGTTCTTATATGGACACACTAAACCCATTAGTGAAGGTACCGATAACATGTATTGCTGAGATAAGACCGGGATAGGATGATCATAAAATGGTTGTGTGTGGTGATTAACAATTATAATTGGTATTTCGTGAATCTCAGCCCGACCGTGTATCACCTACAACGACAGCATTAACTCATAATATGAATCTTCGTTCTCGACAAAGGTAGATCCATGGTACATTGTAGTCAGACAGTGACCGTTCAATGTCTACTATTCTTATTTTAACATTAATCCAGCTCATTTCGGTACGAGAGAAATATAATGCAATTTTTGACCGCTTGTGATTTTTTAATGGTTATATTTTGCATTCATGAAATTTGGAGTTGATATGCCTATTTCATCTAGATTGCTTTTTATGTAAACAACAAGCATTTTAGTTAATGAAATCAACAATAAATAACACAGCACCTTAAAGATGTCTGAACAAGACAACGGACCGACACAGGAATTGTTTCTGCGTGTGGTATATTATTTTGATAATACATAACTGCTCAATAGAACAATATTTGTTTTGTAAGACTAAATAAGTTAACATGTTACTCGAGTTGCAAGCCGATTACAACAGTTAGGCTGAGTCACCAACAAAACACATGCATAGTTTAAAAACCAGACAACAACTTTGAATGCGTTAATCTGATAGTCGTGGAAACAAGTGGCCATAGTTACTCGGTCTGATCGTAATTGTTGGTGATAAAACAGCGAGTTTCTAAGCAACCCATTCCTCAATTGGGAATGCTTGTACGCTATAATAATTATTACTCGTCCTAAAAGTACATTGTCGGTAATAAAACAAACGACGTTTGTGTAGATCGGTCATTTGCACTAAGAACACTTTAACAAGTCAACTTAATAATGACGTCATTTGCTAATTCCAATCATATACCAAAACGATCTAAGAGCCGCCAGATGTGACAGTTACATACTTTAACCAAACAACTATTTTAGAGAGCAACAATATTCCTCTCCGTTGGTCATTCCTTGCAACAAATTTGTGGGTTTTTAAAGTCTAGATACGAATAATGTTATAGAGGTATAACAGTATGTGGTATATGTCATAGTAATGGAGTACTTATATAATGTTCGTTAACATATCTTGGCCGTTAAAACCATTAAAAATATAAGTTTATAATGTCCATTACCGTAGCCCGAATGAACAGAATCAATCACTAATCAGATAATAAATTTAACGGATATCAAACCTATCTAGAAAAGACTAGTTCTTATTCATTAAATGTACCACGCAAACACGTGAAAACCCAGGCGACTAAAGAAGCAATTGATAGTTTGAGGAATAAATATGATATTCATTAGAAATCCATGGCGTGACAGGCATGACTTTGATACATATACGACCTATTCCTTAGTATCGAACAATGTATGGTTTTGTTTGATTGTTAACCCGATTGGGGATTCGTCCTTGCTACAGTTCCATACACAGATGATTTCAATATACTACAGCCACTCAAGGTCCATATATAGTGACATCAGACTTAAATGTCATAACCTGGAAACAGTTACATCTTGTGTCGTTGAACTTTAGGATTGATATAGATTTTTTAACTTTTTTTAAATTAAGCATTGCTAAATTTTCAGTAGTAAGAGAAACTTACCTCTACTCTGTTTTGTTTTCTTGGATATTTCAAACAATATTAGAGAATATGACGCTGATATGATGAGCAGAGGAAGAGCGTATAATGTGATGATGTTGAAGAGATTGTATGCTAGTTCATGTTTGGCTGTCGGGAAGAAGTTGAAGGTAACGCACTGTGTATACCACGGATGCTGTGGATGGTGCTCTACGTGAAATATAACACTCTGAAAAGATAAAAAATACAATCATTGAGAAAACAAATTCATGCATACGCAAACACAGGCATTACATAATTTAAGTTCCTGTCTTATTCTGATATTAAACCTTCTAAAGCGAATTTCGTTTTAATCGAATTGCCAACATCAATGGTCTTTAGAAATAAAGTACAAGTTATTTACGATTCAACCAAACGTAGGTTTATGTGCAACAAGTAGAGTGGACCGCAGAGAGGAAGTCATCCTTTGGCGACTACGTATACATGTAGCCCAAACCTATATCACACGTAATTACATTTTACGCAAAGAAGACCAACCTCATTGTCACGCGTGCGACCAACCTCTTACAGTCAAAAATACCGTTTATGAAAAGTTCATTTGATATAGTTTCTGTGTAATTGATACATGGTTATTTGCACTCAATCGATCTTTTCAATAAGATTTGATATGTTTAACAACCGATTCGTACGCAATGTATTTATGTTTAACACTTACTGTTTGATGTATTAACTATTGTGAATGTCTTTCTTTACAGTGTTGTTTGGCCCTAAAAGACTTACATTGACGATGGGCCGTAAAACAATGGAAAATATTGAAAACATTGAAAAAACACCTACATAGGTTGTTTTTTAAATAGACGAATACAATAGTTATTTAAAAGTAAGATTCTAGACAAACACAACCAATGGATATGTATAATAACATAAGAATTTGAATCAGCTAAACATTTTCAACGAACGGCTGATGGAAGGTTAGAAGCAAATTTGACCCGTCATGCTCGCGGGTTGGTTTATAGGGTTAATTGCCTTACTAACAGCTAAAGACACGTGCTATGTATGATTGTGTGCTGCTACACGTGTGTGTATTTGTACAGTTTTTAGGAAGATACGTCAATCAAGTACTATGCTAAACCACCATGCACAGTACTTCACCCGGTCATATTATACAGACAATGGGCAAACTATTAAAAACCCTTACTAGGAACGTTTATCTAGAGAGTAGAACGGCTTTAGACGTATTCAATATTAATCCCAACTTACTTGAACCCATTTTTTAAAACATTTTGCCCTTCCATAATGCGACTTTCGCTGATCAATGATACTTGGTTTTGTTAACCTAACTCTAAATGCTACATAAGAAAGCATCGCGGTACTTATCACCTCTCAATCATTACCAACTGACTTAATATAGCGGTTCTATGTTTTCTACTTGAAATGTTTTCAGATTTCATCCTTCGAAGTAAATAAATGGTAACTAATATACATTTATATCGAAACGCGATAAGCGCTTAATAACATGAAGATAACACAATACACTATATGTGCGTACAAATTTCATATTTTACAACGTAATAAAATAAGAATAATCTTTCGTCTGTATCTACATTGATTTATATTGGTTCAATGTTATAGTTTTCAATGACTATGGACCTTGACTACACGTAGATTGTATCTTTAATTGATTCAACATTCATTTGGCAGTCGCAATGGCGAGCATCCATTTCTACACTCTGTTCACCTCTGCTGCGTCTTGATATAAATCTGTCTGCTCATTCGTAAGCCTTTGAATTATGACATGATTTCTATTTTCAATGGTTTTATCTCAGTTCTGAACTTCCACTTGTCGTAACACACGTTAATGCATTAATCGTAGGTATCTGATATGCTTGTATTTTACAACGTTATGACATACTGGGGAAAGATGGTATTACAAAAAAAACGAGGGTCGGCACCGCATATGTTGTACAAGTAGACACACTGATATACTAGCGGGGGAAAAAAAAGAAACAAACTTCACGCGGAGAATTGTTATAGAACATGTACTGCCTATTGTATATACATGAAAATTCACACACATGACCGAGTATGACACATACACACTATCCGTGTGTCATTGACAGTTGTCCCATGCAGTTTGCTCTCTATAGGCGTTGTCCAGCTATTCAATTCGACAATGAAAGTCTATTTTTCAACTGTTGGGTCACTCTGTTGAGACCTTTGAACAGTAACAACAGCATTATTACGTTTTAATTTGTGATTAATGCTAGGCCGAGGCTCAATGAAAATGACCGCCTCCGGATTATTGGTTTGCTTCAAGATGGTATGGACCAAGCCGTTGTCTCTACACGTTTTCATGTCCATCGAAACACAATCAAGGATTAGTGGAGACGACATCAACAGTTTGGCCACGTCGGCGATCGACCTCGTGCAGGACGTCCACGTGTGACGTCACGTCAACAGGACAACCATATTCGGCTTGTCCATTTGAGAAATCGCTTCGAAACGGCAAGTTTGACTGCACGGACAATCCCTGGGTTGCTACAAATAAGCCCGAGAACTGTACGGAACCGATTGCGTGAACGAGCTATCCCTCCGCGACCTCCTGCAATCCTCCCAGTTCTTCTGCTACGTCATCGTGTAGCACGTCTGGACTAGTGCAGAAGGCATCTGCGATTTACCCGACGGGATTGAGCCCACGTCGTTCCATTCGTGCAAGGGCAGCAACGTCACATTACGCTACAGCAGGACAACGCCCGGCCACACACAGTTCGTGTCGCTATGTACGTTCTGGCCCAACAGAACGTTGACGTGTTGCCCTGGCCTGCTGTATCCCCCGATATGTCGCCCATTGAACACGTCTGGGATGAAATGAAGCGCAGATTACGGGCATCACCTAATCAACCGATGACGTTGGCTGATTTGGCTGCAGCGTTGGTACAGATCTGGAATGCCATCCCACAAGCATTCTTGAACCGTCTGATAGGCTCCATGCGTCGGCGTTGTCAGGTTTGCATTCAGGCAAAAGGTGAACATACGAGGTAGTAACTTTGTGAATTTAGTATTTACCCCTGCTGTGTTTACGTCACTCCTGAGCGGAACTTAATGATTCCATAACAAGGAAAATGGAATGCAACTGTTAATAACCTTGTTGTTCTACGTCATACATATTTATTTTTATAACATTTTAGGCATGCACAGTTTCTTTTTCCCGCTAGTTTATATATAAAACAAAGTAAAACAATACAATGGTGTAATGGAAGACAGGTGTATGTGATACTCTTCGGCGACGTGTACGAGATTTATCGGAAAAGCTTCAGTGAGCCAACCCGCTGTGATTATATATACAATGACTAAAACACTTAATCTGCAGGTTTCTTTTCCGAGCAATCTCATGTTTTTGTCCAATAAGTTTCTTTAACAAATTTTATTTATTTACATGAAAAATAAATTACATGTATAATAGAAATACAAGAATACAATATAACCACTGAGGAAATTTGTGTAATGGTCAGTATTAATGGAATCTTCTGAAAAGCAGTAAGCATGAACCTATACGTTATAGTGATGCTTCAGTTCCATGAAATATTGTGCGTTATATTAATTTCAGGTGTGGTACGTATAACAAGGGAGTGAACCTTAAAGCAGTTGCATCTTTTTCTTAAACATAACAATGTTTTTTCTCCAGTTGATTGCTTAGTTACTACTACCAGGGTTTCAAAAACTTTGTTCGTGGTATGTTTTTGTCCGGACATTCAGAGAAAAAAGTATCACCAAAAGTCTATTATAACTATAGTCCTTTACATTAGTAACTAAAAGCTCTGAAATCCATACGCTTTAATGAGCATAGACGACAAAGACAACTGGGTGTATGATGTATCTTCAAATAGAACCGACTAGGCATCGATGTTTCTATATAATGTCTTTTTACGCTATTTGTAAGGGCGCTGACATCTATATTATGTATCAAGTTACTAAATGTCCAAATAGCGGCATATAAACCACGGGCGACTAATGGATTAATATCGGAATAAACTGTTTTATTATGTTCTCCGAAGTCAAATAAATACATATACTCATCACCGCGTCAACACAAAAGGACAACTCGTATGGATACGTGTGGTTTTGTTGGGGGTATCGCTGCCCCCAATAACATGATCGTAAGAGGCGACTAAATTTGGGACTTTATCTTTTCTCTTCTTTCTAAATAACTTTGTTCTTCCTGAGGTCTCCCTTGACAATGCCTCACTTTTGGCCATTTGTTGAGCGTTCGCCCCTGTGAGGAAGGCTTTGGGTTTGTCCCCTGGCCGAGACATACCAAAGTCTTTAAAAATGGTAGTTTCTACTCCTGCTTAACGCTCAGCAAATTAGGAGTTGGACGGCTGGTTCGCCCGTTGTCAGTATAATGTGACAGTAAGTTACAGTGAGGTAGCACTATGAATTCGGCATCATTTCCGCGCTATCACAAGGAGAAAAACACGAACATATCGCAGCCTCACAAAATACACACACATACGCTACCCGCATGCATCTTGCAAACAGGGGAGGCCGTCCTTAAATGATCTTAGCTGTTAATAGGACGTTAAACAAAATCAAACAAACAAACAAACAAACTTTCCGGAGGCAGCAAACGTCACAATACTCCCTATTAGTTTCTTGCATCATAAGTAAATCCCGTCAAGACATATCTGTCAAATCCGGGTAAAGTATGCAGGTTACTGTGCTAATGATCTAAGATACAGTATAAAGGCCTCAAGTCATCGTGATTATTATAGTAAGTCCTATCAAGTAGAGTTACATGTTCACGGCTATGTAGGTTATTAATCATCAGGACGCGTCTCTTTAGGAAATCAAGCTGCTTGAAACAGGCTCTGGAGTGGTTAATTAAATATAGCATGCTATGCTCAGGAGTAGTAGTTTGATATATTAAAGATGACATATTCGTTGCAAGAAATACAGCTAGAAAGAAGGGGTCTTGCATCTATATATTTTTTTCTGGTCCACAGGACCAACCAGGTACAAGTGCTAAGCGAACAACAATGAAGGTTACCACATCATTAGTGTATTAGAGTGTGAACTTGATGGCTCCAGTATTTCAGACATTGTACATATAACAACCTATGCGCATCTGTGCTGCCAGTTTGGACAAAATTGATAGATATACGGTAAAACCCCACTTACTCGATCTCGCATAACTCGAATACCCCATTTTCCTCGAATAGTCTGCATGGT